GGTCAACGCATGCTCATGTAGCAGCCAAATCCTTCAACCCTCAAAAACATTGAAAACCTCTGCGGTAGCTAACCACGAAAATAGCAAAAACCAGACAAGCTAGATAAGCCTCCGCTGAGAGAGTGATGCTTAAATGATGAAGATGATATTGATGATGAAGATGAAAATGATTCTGGAATATGAAGAAACATGATGATACATAATGAACATGTCTTCAAAACTTTAATGAAAAGTCATGACGTGTGCTGGAAATGATCAAAGGTCATGGCACGTGGTGAAGCTTCCTGAAATTGATGACAATGATATGTGAGCAAAAAACCCTGAAAACTGATGCAAAGTGATGAAGCACGCTGAAGCGTAATCAATGATGATGAAAGATGGCGAAGGAAACAAAACCTGTGAAGATGATGAATATGATGAAAACTGCGGAACATGATGAAAAGACTTGTCACTCCGCAGTGCATTTATAGCCACCCGTACGCCCCTGCGCCTGCTGATGAGCACACTTTTCAGGGTTGCGCAGTCCTTCTCAATCAGTTAACGCAAGCAGGAGGGAGCCCCGTCTCAGATCCATCGGGCACTCTCGATAGAGCGCACATGCCTTGGGTGAACTTCCTTACCTTAGACGCACAAGACCCGTCCTCACCAAAGATCTTTCCATTTGGCCTCGCCTTTCTTCCTTCTTAACTCTCCTGACAGGTTCTCCCTGCAAAGAAGCACTTGAATACCTCTTGGATTCTGCATACGAACTTCAGCATCTACCTCCTGCGCTGCCCTCATAAGCTTTGGAACAGTAAAGAAGTCAGTATTTTCGAAATCCACGCGAAGACGATTCTTCTCGCTGAAGCCATGGAAACTTCGTTCGTGAGCGCGTCAGCTTGTACATTTTGTTCTCTAGGACTCTAAGAATCCAACGCAACATCAGCCTTGTATTCATCCGGTGGAGCTGAAGGCTTACCTCCATCAACACCACCGATAATGGAAACGAGCATGAGAGGACTGTCACGGGCGCTCACCTTGCTGTCTGCTAGCGCAGGAAAAGGATGATCGCGAGAATTGCGGTGAACTCCAATTTGGCTCCACCGAAGCGAATGAACGGCAGGGTTCCCCTTTTACAAAAGCCCATGGAGCTGAAGATCTCGACAATCGAATGGAAACCCATAAAGGACTATATTATCCTTCTCTGCCTTTGCACCAACGCGAAAGGTCAACTAGATACACAGGTACCTGGGGCAAGAACTGACGATCACGAGAAGAGGGTGTGCCTCGGAAAGGGCGTACATGGGGCCTTCAGGTCACGACCAGTAATGCCAGATCCAATCCCTCTTTATCTCGCCAACGCCAACCTGAAAGGCACCCAAACTCAGCTCATAGCCGATGTACTGAAGACGTATCCCTCCTCGTGCCAGCTGAGAGGGACCTCAGACAAGAAAAGCCAGAAAAGACATTTGAAGGCGAAATTCTTCCCTGAGCGGCCAACCAGCATCATCCGCATCGAGCAAATGAGAAGATGCCCAAAGCAAACCTGCGAGCATGTGAAAACATCGTGTCATCGTGGCCGCAAAACACCGCTACCAATATGCAGCCGAAGCAACACCGACAGCTCCTCGCTTGTGAAGAAAGACCTCGCCTGGGTCGTCCAGCGAAAGGCCTAATAGCCCCAATCATTTAGTCTACGAGCGTGGGCCACATCATACGCCACGCCGGACCTGACGCAGGGATTCTCAGCACACTCGCTCTTCACCTGACGGAGCACCGCTTCCGCATCATCCACAAGTGGACATCACATACGATTCCAAACTCTGACGCGACGGGTAACATCGACAGAATAACTGCCGTCATGCCCCACCCTTACCTCATCGGAGTCAAGGCCTTGCGGACTGCCCCAAAGCCGCAACAGCTAGCCTGCCCTTGTACTTTTCTTCAGCATCAGCCCTGGACACACGACAAAACCCTTCTCGATGTCATCACTGACTTGCTCCTTAGTCTTGGACATGTGACATGGACTGCACCGCTGAAAAGTAATCGGCCTTGGTGCCCACGAACTCGCCTTCAGCCTCGCTAAAGTCCCACTTGCCCATGGGCTCAAACATATCGGGACCTGCGAGCGCTGAAGCTCTGAGCTTGCAATCCACATTATCCTGCCTCCGCGGGAGTCACTAACTGAACCAACTGTCGCGCGCCAGAACTTGTCCTTCTTAACATCTTGCCACTTGACTCCACCGCCTGACACCAACGCTTGAACTCTCAATGGGTTTCCATGATACTTCATTGACCTCACTTGACACTGACATTCTGCTTTGGTTTGAGCTCTTGCCTGCCAAGCGTGTCTGACATCAGGCTTGTTCGTCAGTGTGGAACTCCACGTGACCACGCCAGGGTTTGAAATCAATCACTCTGGCATTCTGCAAATTCATGAACTTCGCATTACGCAAGGTCACATTCGATCCATCAGCATGCTCCCTGTGGGTGGTCCTGTCTCTAGTCAATCTCTTCAGTGGGACAGGCATTGACGAACCCATTCGTATTCTTGGATCAATTGTTTTTGCGCCTCCATCCGGACTCATCATAGGAGTCATCATACCACGACCAGTCATCTGACCAGACTTCTGCGTGTCCATTCTCCCCACTCTCATTCTCTCCTGTAACCGCATTGACAATCTTCGCTTAAGGGCATTCCTTACTCCAGTGTGACTTGCTTCCACACATGAAGCAACCTTGTCCTTTGCCATTAGGAAATAATGATTATTTCCTTTTCCTTTCAGTCCTTTACCTTTGCCTTTGCCCTTTCCTTTCATTCCTTCGCTCTTTCCCCCCTTTGCCTTTGCTCTCGCCTTAACACATTCCTTTCCTTCCCTTTCCACCCTTTCTTACCTTTGCCTTTCAGTGCTCCTATATTCATTGGAGCAGTTCCCTGACTGGATGCATGCGGAGTGATGGGCACAGTCAAACGCTTGCTCTTAGCGTAGGCATACACAATGTCCAGTTTTTGTTGGAACGTCGTCACTGATCAAATGTGCAGTCTCAAATGCTGTTGCAGTGGGCCAGTCGTCTTCTGCATGAGCAATAAATCATCCTGAATCGGCGTTTTCTCATGTCTGATCTTCGCAATCAGAAGATCACTCAAATCATTCTCAAAGTGATCAGGGCGCAATCTGAACGACAGTATCTCATTCAACAAGCTCGTGGCCTTGGCATGCTCAGGCAGTGCAAACTGGCAAGACAGTCTACACTAAATTTCTAAGCCATTTTCAATGTCTTCACATCGAACAATCGCTTTAGCTGAGCCATCAGTGATCTGGGCCAGTAAATGCGCCAATTGACGTCTCATTGCTGCAATTACTTTGTTGCTGGCCATACTCTTGACATAGTTCATCAGTGATCTCCTCTGGGGTCTCCGCCGCCTCATCCATTAGCCCATTGGCTTGTGCAGTCCTACATACCTCTTCAATTGCCACCAATCTTCCCACTTACCAAGCTCACCATCATAGGTGGAAAAAAGAAAAGTCTTATCTCTCCTCCAATCGATCTGGAAGCGAAGTCCATTCTGGACTCAATCGACAAAGCACTGAACCTTTCAGTGTTCCGCCACCATGCAAAATCCAATGATCACGATATCAACTATCAACCTAACCAATCAATCACTCTCCAGAGTCCACAGCAAGTTTGATCAATCCTTTGTGCACTCACAGTGCTAGCACTCGTCTTGAGCCAGACAGCATTTCGTATCATTCCAGTATGCTCACCATGTGGCATACAGTCCAGGTCATTGTGGGAACAGTGTCATCTAACACACCACCACCACCACCACCGCCGCCGCCGCCGCCGCCGCAACAGCAGCAGCAGCAACAGCCGCCGAAACAAGACCAGCAGCATCGGCATCGGCATCAGCAACAAGCGAATCCACAATTTTCCACTAGCAGTAGCAATCGGAACATCCAACGAGAACGACGGCAACAGGAAGGGCGACGGCCTCGACCGCAAAAACAACGACTACAGTGACAATGCAGCGACAACAACAATAAGAACGAGGACAACAACAATAACAACGTCGACAAAACACACAACCAGCATGAACACCACCACTAGCCGCCCCCACCACCACCACCGCCGCCACCACTTCCAACATCAGTATCGGCACCAGCCTGACGGAACGGCAAGTGCTTGGTATGAGTAAGCAGGATGTGTGACCTAAGCTCCCGACCAATGGCTTCAAGATCATCTCGGCGGCTCTGCTCGATTCCTCTGTGCGTGTTGATGCTCACATATCGAGCAGTCCCTGTGAGCTTGCGGTCATTCCGGAACGGAATATGCTGGCTGGTCCGTGGGTTTCGGTAACGCTTCGCTAATCCAAAATCAATGATGTACACGTCACCAGCCTTCTTCTGAACACCCATCAGAAAATTTTCTGGCTTGATATCTCGATGCAAGAAGCCGCGGGAATGGACATATTCAATAGCATCAATCATCTGCTGACCAATTGCTGCAATGGTCTTATGCGTAAATTTACGGTCGCAGTAGTTGAAGAGGTCTTCAAGCGACGGACCAAGAAGGTCAATCACCATAACGTTGTAGTCACCTTCAACTCCGTACCAATGAACGGCTGGAATCTGCACGCCATTCGAGATTAGCTTGTAGAGCTTGGACTCAAAGACAAGTAGAGGGTGCTGCGCCCTCACTGACTCCAGCTTGATTGCCACTGGCGCCGCCGTCTGCACATTCACTCCCATGTAGATGTCCCCAAAGGATCCGGAGCCGATCTTTTCCGAGACCTGGAACTTGCCTGCGATTAGCTGCGCCATTCAAGAAAATTGTCGCACTTGCATATGTGTACAAATCCCTACAACCCCCCCGGGAAAATTGTTTGGCAGTCGGGCTCATTTTCTCGCCCCATCTTGAGCCCCGGTCAGCAGCATGGCCAAGTTGCAAATTGCTTGAGTCTTCAAGGACAGAAAGCGAAAAGGAAGCACAATTCAATTCCTTGTCTCTCAGGTTGGCACTACAAGATCCCGGGCTCCAGGTACTGGTTGCCCTCGAAGCTGCTGACAAGTTGCCAAGATCCATATGACCTTCGCTTCATCAAAACAATCTGGCTGCGTTAGAAACACTTCAGTGTGTCCTTGGCGCCATGCATTGGCCACGCTTTGCGCATCTAACGTTGCCACTCGCGGCTGCAGAAGCTGAACGGATTCCTCAAAGATCATGCTTGATGCCACCTTGCCAGGCGGCTCTGCCCAGATGTGTGGATCAGCCATTTGTCGGGAATATCTGCCAAGTCACGGTATCTGGCTTCGCCCTCACATATGCCCACCTGCAAAAATGCTTAAAAGCTACTTTGCTTCGAACATCAGCTTTCGGCTTTGCATCAGTGCAGGCACAAAAACATGAGGTTCTGCACAGGCAAAAGAAGACCACTCTTGCAGCTCGGGGCACATAAGTCCACACAGCTCATCCAGGCGGAATGAACTCAAGCGTCCGCAGGCTCTGCGTGTCAGAGTATCGAAAACGGCCTTACCTCAGAATTCGCACTTGAGTACCTCACACGTTTACTTCCTTGCAGTGTGTCACGACAAGAGGCTGGGCAGCTGAGTCGTTGCATACGCCCAGGCAGAGTTTGCAATATTCCTTCAAGAAACACTGCACAACAACCGTCCTGCAGCTGAACCGATTTTTACTTCCATGTCAGCGAGGATCTGATTGTCAAAGACATCAATGTTGACGGTAATAAACTCAGCAAAGGTGTCAAAGAGTCGCATGTGCGCAATACCCACCTGTGAGGCAAGGTGGCAAGCGGCCTGTGACAATGTTCTTTCAAACCAGTGGCACCTTCCCATATGCCCATAGCATATTTGAAGCCATTTGTGGCGAGAACTGGCGCCACAAGCCACTCTCAATCTGAGGGCTCAGGGGGCGGACACACTCTTGCGGGACCTCCCCCCACTAAATCCACAACGAACTCCACATGACAGAAGGGCCAAGGAAACCTCAAGCCCTTCCATGCCATCAATGCTGCCACGTAGCAGTGTACTTTGCAAAAACTGAAAACAACTCCTCATGACAAACATCCAGGGTAGCATACGCCCACATCAGGTTCGATACCTGGAGGTGTTGGATCAATAAAGGGCTGCGAGAACATGTTAAGAACATTGCACATGCCCAAGTGCTGCAAGGCTACACTTTGACGATCAAAGGACGAGTACGATTCAATGGCACGCTTCGCCAGCCTTGGTTTCACTGGCCAATTTGCTTCTTCTAGGAAAAGAAAGGGCAACTGCATGGATGCAGGCAGGACTCATGTCAAAAAGAGGTGGGTTGTGATTCTTGGACTTTGCGAAAGCCCAACACAAATTCGCGATGGTGTGCCTCAACAGGTTTAAGTCAAAAAGGAATCCTGCCCATCCGCAAAGCTGTCAAAGACATATGTCTTCAGCAAAGGCTCGGAGGCAAGTCGCTGCAGTCCATAGCAGCCGAAGCAAGCTGACCAAAAAGCACGCGTTCTGCCATCCCAGCTTTCGCAAAAGCCCAAGCGGTCATAGAAATGTCGATGAACCTGCCAGAGTTGCCTGGCAAAATCTTGCGGTGCCGTGCAAGGCATGCCGCACCGGAAAACATGGCAGGCAATATTGCGGTTGAGCATCAGATCTTGCGCGCTGCTTCTTTTGACAGAGCGGCCCAGACATCTCCACGCTCGCGGACCTGGAGCCTGTGAGTGATCGTGATTCGAGGAAGTACACTAGTACACCACGGATGGGACTGTTTGGTGCTTCTGGGCAACTTTGCCAAGACCCACGCCAGCCTCATGCAAAGGTGACTGAAGTCTGAAGCGATCAAGAAATTCGAGCGGGAGCACTTGGCTGCATCTGTTGGGCCGAAGTGATCGATCTTCTGCAAAGATCTGTCCAACAAGTCATTCAGCAAAGACAGGTCCTGACAAGCTCGTCGCCCCATCCATCTGCAAAGCTGGAAACTTCACAACAATTCAGTCCTCCCAATCTTTGATCCTAGCGAATGCATAGGCCAGCATGGACAGACCTGCGGTCGAGCCCTAATCAAACCTATTCGACTTCTGTCATGGAATGGGCCGCTGCTGGCCGATCGCTTTAGCAGGAGCTCACACAGTCCCCGGAACTCATAGTGAGAGGAGAGGCTTTTTGCGGAAATGTTAAATGCGGGAAACGAAGCAAGGACAGCTTCTGTGTTCGAACCTTACTTCCAGCATTCGCGGTACGACGGAGGTTTAGCATGACTACACCAGCAAACTGCTCAAGACGGCCGTGAGTTACGGGTCTTGCTTCTCATGCAATGCTGATTGTCATGGAGCCGGAGCTTCTGATCGCCTATCTTCACCTTCACGAATGGTTGAACTTCGGTTTTAAATCAGCACCCCTGCTGCGATGCGTACGCGTGCTCAATGGCACAGTCCATTTAAAAAGTAACTTAGCATCCCAATCCAACTAGATTAACTAGCCCTCATTCAGTGTAAATAGATTTGACTCCTCTTAGTTCTTGAGGTTGCTGCGTCTTTTGCTAGGCATGCCTTGGACTTCTCCCAAAAAGTGTGAGGACGCTTTGCGCGAAAGCTTGATTGACAGACAAAGCGTGTTTACCCTCGAGGTTTGCAGGCGATTTGAGGAAAAGATTGAAGGTGCTCCACGCGAAAGCTGGATTTTTTGCGCCCATGGAACCAAAATGCGAAACGCTTTGCATGCCTGCACAATGTCGCGCAAAACTGTGAGGATGCTCCACTCGAGAGCTCGATCGTGAGCACCGAATGGCACCGCATGGCGCCGCACGGACATGCTCCACACAAAAGCTCGAGTGAGCGCGTATTCAGCTTCTCGCAGCGCTTGCTTTGAGTCAGGATCTTCAGGATGAGCTTCTGTCCACTTCCTTGACCTGATAGGTCCCAACTTAGGCTGCTCCTTGAGCTGTTGCTCGACGGATTTGCAAGGGTTTTCGCACACTGGAGGTACTCGGCCGCCAGTTCTGTTTTAAAACCCTGCCCCCCCCCCCGAACGCTGCCTCGTGGTTCCAGTCGGGGCAGTGAGCTCTTGACGCGCTTTTGTAACTCCGTCCAGGCCTCGCAAGTTGCGCAAACTACGATGCATGAGCAACATGCAACTGCCACGTAATCATTCATGCTGTGGCTGGCTGGCTGCTGGGAAGACATGCGGTACTTCTGTACAGCTCAAAGGCACCCACCCGGGCGTGCCAGAAAGGAAAGAGGTGAGGATCCTTGCAGGCTGCGCTGGCCGTCACCTGCCTTGCACCTGCCTCGCCTCATTTTTTCTTGCTGCCACAACACCTGCTCCACCTTAGGAACCTGAGCCATTGCAATCACAATGTTGCCAGCATCGAATCGCTCAATCTCCTGGCACTGCACATGCAGCCACAAGCCAGCTTCAACAAAGCAAGGATTGCAGCATCTCGAGGCGCCTGGCTTATTACATCAAACAGCTTCTGCAGCGTGTCCTGCCACATGCAAGTAGCCAGAAGTAAGCCTGTATTTTCTGCGGAAGTGGTCCCAAACAATCGTACCAACTATATATAATATGAACCATAAGCCGTAAGCCCTTGCATTACCCAAGCACCTCATACTGCCAAGACTAGGAAGTTCTGTAAGCGTCCTCATGTTCCCTGCCCAATGTCGCAATGTTCCTCATGCTCTCATTCTCCTAATCTTCAAGTTGTATCGAAAGTGTTCTTTATGATGGAACATGCCTTCTCTTTGCCATACCCTTTTCCAGACCCTCGAGCCGCTGCTCTTCCTTGTGGTCAGTAACTTCTAAACAAGCCTCATGTGCTCATCGTAAGATTTCTAAGAAAGCCAGGCACACAACAACAAATCCTAAAAGCGATCGGTACTACAGCCAGGGCAGATTGAAAAAGGGGGAAATACTGCTGGGCAAAAGCAAAAATATTGAAATACTCAACATCTTCATGTAGCAACTGTTCGAAATAAAGATAGCAAACAATTCTCAGGTTGTATGAATGTTGGAAAAAATCGGAGCACCAAGAATGCTACGAACCCTGGTGGAACTCCTACTATAAGGCGCCGGGCCTCAAGAACCCCGTTGTTTTCGTGGACGTCCAGGACCGGGCACAAGGTATGCCCCTGCCCTTGCTTCATCGCGCATCAACCCCAACCCCCTCCCGCCAATCCTCCCGCCACCGTTTGTTCAAGGTTCTTCTCTGCAGACACGGTTCACCCGTCCCTCCCTCCCCTTCAACATGCTCTGCATTGCAACCTGTTTTATAGGGACGTTGAGGGGCAGGTAGGGGGAGGGTGAACAAGGAAGGAAGGAAGGAAGAAGGAAAGAAGGGTGGCAAGGCGGGATGGATGACGGCGAGAAAAACCTTCAAGCGAGCCTCCGCAGAAAGGAGGGAGAGTTTCTGGCACAGAAAAGCAGGACGACAAAGACGGGGGTTCCCGGGGTGGCGCCTTCAAGAGTCCACCAGAAACAACAGGGGCCTCCAGAAAGAATTTCCTTTGGAAAGGACAGGTGAGCCGCGCGAGCAGAAATCTCAGTGGAAGGGCTTGAGAGAGCCTCTTGCAGTGAGCAACCCGTGGAACTTCAAGGACGCTCCCCTGCAACACCCCGAGGTAAGCTCCGCACAGCAAGGCTCGGGCAATTGGGATGGGCTTTATTTTTTTTCTAGGATCATGCGCGAGTCGGCACACGTTGGCGTCTGCCCAAACGCGGGGTTTCTCAGCACTCGTACGATGGATGGGATGGGCTTTTCATTTACTGGCAATGATGTCTGGCAGGAATCATTTGAGGTCAGACCTTCGAAAGCAAATGAAAAGATATACTACAGCGCCAACAGCTTGGGACAAAGAACGAGGCTACCAGGGTCGGTCTTGACTTCACGCAAAACACGATGGCGCGCAGACAGCGCAGCCTGCAGATCCAAGGGCTGAGCAAGAAGACACCCACAACATACCACAGAACAATGAAAACACAAGACAAACACAAAGAAGCGTTTAAAAAAAAAACACATGCGTACACACAGAATCTAAGGAATTCCACACGCGCAAAAAAAGGACTTGGCAACTGGGGTCCTGGCACATCTATCCAATAATGTGTTTTGTTGCTTTGGCCTTTATAGTCCTGTACACTCACTAAGTAACTGTTTTCCTGCAGTTTGGCTGTTGAGACGCGACCTCCCTTCAGCCGAATACACACGCAGGTGCTTTCGAACGACGAGCTTGCTTCAGCACATCGGGCCTTGGAGGCCTCATGCACGGTAAGGGATGCGAAATTAATCCAAGTTTGTTTTGTTTTTTCTGGTTTCTCCAACAGTCACAGGGATCGTGGGGGTGGGGGTCGCAATCCTCGTAACTGTCGTCGCTTTTAGACCTTCGGATCCTTTTGGAGTGTCACAAGCGTCAACAGTCACAGGGATCGTGGGGGTTGGGTCCTCGTAACTGTCATCGCTTTTGGAACCTCAGATCCTCTTGAAGTTTCAGAAGTATCAACAGTCACAAGGATCGCGGAATCGCGGGGGTCGGGGTCGCGATGCTCGTAACTGTCGTGGTTTTTGGAGTTTACAGATTTTGCGAAAATTTACTAATTGCTTAGCGAAAATTTACGATTTTTTTTTGCAAAAATGTGCTAATGTTGGCGAAAGTTTACAATTGTTTTGCGAAAAGTTGCAGATTTTTGCGAATATTTCTTTTTTTTGCGAAAATGTGCAGATTTTTTTGCGAAAATTTTCAATTTTTAGCGAAAATCCATAAACTGGCAAGGAAGCTGGACGGAGGCATTTTTGGATGTTCGCGAAAACGCGGAAACTAACGACGTGCTGTGATTTGTGGACTAGTTTTTGCGAAGATCCGCAAATTGACACGCAAACTTTTGCGCGCAGCACTTAATTGACTTAGAGTTGGGGTCACGATCCTCGTAACGGCCATTGCTTTTGGATGCTTTTGGACTCTCGGATCCTCTCGGAACGCCAATACTCACAGGGATCGCGGGGGCTGGGTTCGCAATCCTGGTGAACGCGTTTAGATTTTACATCCTCGGATCCTCCACTGAATCGCGATCCCTGTTACTGTCACCGATTTAACGCTTTATGGGAATCGAAGCGTAGCGGGGTGGTTGAGGGGGGGCGCAGCCCCCCCTCTTGCAATACATGGACGACCACGAGAGCTTGGTGCTTCTTGTTTGGTTTTCGTTTCGTCTGCCAGGAATCCAGGGTTGGAAAATATCCCTGAGCAAATTGGATGCATGTATTCACCCGGTGCAGTGGTGGTAGGGGTAATGGGGTGGTAGTGGTGGCAGCATTACTCTGAAGACCCTAAACCATACATAACAAATCAAAACCCTAGAAAAGGGCTAAAATCTGGATTTCTGACGGCGGCGCGGAGATCTAGAAGTCTAAGCGCCCTGATCCTGGAAACTTCAAGCACATAAAAACACCCAATGCGCGGGCCGCGGGCTCCAGGACGCCAAACGCTATAATGACACTCTTGGAACACTTCAAGCACGTAAATGACAGCATTTGCTGGTTTAGGAGCGTTTCAAATACTGTAAATGACAGCATTTGAAAAGGATCGGGGACTTCCAGACCACGGGACCGGAGGACCACAGGACCAGATTACGGACCGAGCCACACCAGGAACAAGCCACACCAGGACCGAGCCACACCAGGGCTGGACGAAGCCACGTTGGAATGTTTCAATTGTTGCAAACTACACAATTTGCTGTTCGTGGAACATGTTCAATGCTGTAAATTACGACATTGGCTGGTCCTGGAACGCTGACAATTCCATTTTGGAACATGGGAATTGCTGCAAATGACAGCATTTGCTGGACCGGAGGACCACAGGACCAGAGGCCCACGGGACCAGAGGACCATGGGGCCAGAACCAGAGGACCACAGGACCAAGTGACCACAGCCAGAAAGCCAAGAAGCCAAGAAGCTAAAAACAAAAACATACACAAAAATTGCAAAAAAATACATAAAAATTACCTTCCCACGCTAGGTATAATGAGTTCTGTGATGGCACTCAACGGAGAGATAATCTACCACCAGGGAAACCGGGGAAGCCCCTTAAAATACTCTTTGGGGCTTGTTCACACACGCCTCAAAAGTCCTCTCAGATGATGGAAGACAAAATGGTGCATGCTGGCCACATTGGGCCCAGGGGCCAGTCCTGCTCCCGAATCGCAATGTCCAGCTGAATCTGGTTGGGATGGCGGACGCCGATTGACAGGAAAATGGGCGGAGGACCTCTTCAACGTCGCCGGCTCATTTAATTGCAAATGGTCTCTCAGGCACCTTGCTTTCCCTCCTGCCAGATCTTGGCATTATAAAACCTGAGGTTGCAGCGAACCTATCTTCACATACTTGCCGAATCAAGCGATACAAGCCCTCATCCTTTAAACTGAGCAGCGATGACATGACCGCCTGGGTCGCCGGGTGCTCCGGACTCTCCGGGCACTGGACTTTCTGAAGTCCGTCATCTGCAACTGCTTCTGCTTGTATTGAGAATGCGTATGTGAAAGTAAAAGCCTAATTTGTCACACCATGGCAGTGAGACTCCGGTGCTGTTTGCGCAAAATCATAAGGTCTTCCTACATTTTAAGAAAGCGCTCTGGGAACTGATCTAGGAGAATGTCCCTGGATCAAAGGCACTAGGATCTGCGAATGCGCCTTGGCTGAAGAATTGCAAGCTCGAGCGGTTTGCTCGGTGCGTGCTGCTGCTACATGCTTCCCGATAAAACTCCAGCCAGCAGATCGAAACAAGCGCTGACTGCAAGTCTTCATCTTCGCAGCGTACCGCCACGTCCAGATGTTCATCTGCCGCCTTTGGTGCTCTTTGGCCTCCGGGAGGCAGTCCAACCCTGCGTATTCTGACGACTGCCTCTTTAGCAGCGCACTTACGGCAGGCTGTTACCCACCAGATGGAAAAACAAGGAATGGACACTCCATGGTTGCGGATCTGTGAAACACGCGAAGACTTTGCGCGGAAATGTTCAGAAAAGATCATCACATCCACCAGGAACAGCTCATTGAGGAGCTGTTTCTGGCCTGCCGAGAATCGAGCTCTTCAAGCTTTGCATCGCTTCCCTCTGCATCTGGCTTCGTTCCTTTTCCGGGCCTTGCCTGCATCATTCACACCAGCAGGGATGCCCAAAAAGGCACAGCCTGCTTTCACACCTAAGCCTCTGGGATGCTAGCTTTGAGCCCCAAGGGCATCTCTGCTTCATTCGTGATCTTAAGAGCTGGGACTGCTTCTTGCAGCGCCCTCTGCCACGCCTTCATTAACTCCTGACAGGAACTGGTAGGAGAAAGCCAAAATACAGACGTTTTGCAAAAGCTTGAAGCCAGCAAGCAACTGGAGTGCTGGGCAAGTGTCTGGACGAGCTGCAAGTATCAACGTGTGCAGAGGGTTTGGTGAGCATGTGAAGCATAGCGGTTGCAAACCTTGGTCTTTGGCAGCTGCATCTTCTGCCCATCAGGATTCTGGCAAAGCTCATTGCCACAACATCTGAGGTTGAAACAAAAAGGCGCAAGCATGCGATCCTACAACGCCATTCTGCTCACGAACGCCTCTAGTTTTTTTCTTATCCCCGAGGGGTACTGTCTACGTGTATCGGCCGCGTGCGAGGCCCCCCTTCTTGCGCTTTTTTTCACATTCTGGTATGCGGTGCAAACTCAAGACTATCGTAAGTTCAAGCATGAAGCAATCAGGGATGACTGTGCCATAGCTGCCACTCATTGGTTTCCCAGCAAACGCGACGTCGTACTGCCGCATTGAGTCACAAAGGTCCTAAGCACAGGAGGAGGGTGGCAAAGCTTTGTTCAGGTTTCTCAAACCCGATGAGAAACATCAGTCTGAAAACTAAAACCGAAAAGAAAGCACGAAGACTCCATAATCATGTGATGTCACCACGAAATCACAACGTGAGTCTGACTCAAAGACATTTTGTGGTTCTCAGCTTAAGAATGACGGACAAGTAAGTAGTCAAGCAATGAGCTTCAACAAGAGAAAAAGACCCTTGCTCAGAAAGCAATTGTTGAATTTATTGGACGGCTTTTGCTTAGAAGGGTGTTGTATTGTCAGAATCTGAGGCTATGGGTTGCAGCTTTGCTGCAGGACTCTGGGGCCAGAACCCGGCAGGTCCGGTGTCTGAGGGCTTGAAAATTTTCTGCAAAAACCCTGAGCGATCTGATGGTCTTGAAGTCGACAGGAACCAAGTTGAGGCCAGGCGGTGGTGTAGAATGTAGCCGTGCAGGTTTAAGTGAAGGTTGTTCGTGGAGGTGGTTATCGTCGTCGTCGCGATGGTGGGATGCTCAGACTTGGCACCGAACTGACAGGAGAAGTGGCCAGGCCGCACGGCACAATGATGGCAGCGGAAACTGGAAGAAGTTCGGATTCAGCAACATCAAGAGTGGGGGACAATTGAGGCCAATCAGCAGAACAGCTGCATCTCAACTGGGCTGACACTCAACAGTTGTTTCCTGACAAAGTGTCTTTTTCTCTTGTTGATTTGTTTGGTGTCGTGGTGGCCTAAGGATGTTTCTCAGTTTCTTCTAAATTTTGCCATGTTGAAGTCCACCAAGCATTGACAGATTGCCTTTCTAGTTGTGCGAAGCTGTCGTCTGCAACATTTACAATGAAATAACTTCTCGCCCATTTTGACAGGGCCGGACTCGCTAAAACGTTGGGTTCAGACATGGCGCTTCCCTGCTTGCCGCCTCCAAGGCTTCGACGTTCACTCTGGGCAGTCTCGTCACTCGGCAAGAGTGCTGCCTAAGCAAAGGCTTCCAGAACACCAGACCATGAATCGAGCAGGTTGCCGACTCGGATAAACCCTGGAGTAATCTCCCAGTCCTGAAACACTGCACCTGCCATCAAGATATGTCGATGCTTCCGAATTTTCGGAAACCCCAAAAAATGAATGCTCCCCCTGTCAGCAACAACGGAGCCCGTGACTCGATTCGAAAGTGCGCGTGAACCATTGGCTGGAGGCAGCACTAAAACATACCAAAGCAATCAGACACACCCAAAGATTCTGAACCTTTTCTGGCCAGCTGCCAAGGGCAAATCAATCGAGCACCCTGGACCACACATGCCAACTGCAGCACGCCATTTTCCTTCCTTGGCTGAAGTCAAAAACGGCTTCACTAGCCTCGGCTTTCTTCCAGTTTTGTACCACATGCTTTGCTCTGTAAGCTGGAGAGACAGCTTATGAATCGTCACGCACGTCCAGCCAACGCTGGCCTGGGCACTCCGAAAGGTAGGTGATGACCTGTGCAAGGCTTCTCAATTTGGCCGCGCTCACTCTTTTAAACCAATGAGGTACTGGCTGTGGTTGAAGCCCTTCGCTGCAGGCAGAAGATGCGCCTGTAGCATGCTGTCGCTCATCCAGTTCTGGCTAGGCAAAGACACAGCAAGTTATTCAACTCCTTGAGTCACATTCATTGGAAGCAATACTCCCCTGGACCTGGATGCCCACTGCCCTGGACAATCATGGAAGATCAACAAGTGCTCCACATGTATCCAGAGCTGGTGCGTGGAGGAGACAAAAACAGGAATGCCCAACCGTAATTACAAGCAGAACAGCATATTCCTACTGGAAAGGCCGGAAACTACAACCAATAAAAACTACAATGGAAAGAACTGTCTTGGGCTGAGGAATCAGAGCACCAAAGCATTTTGCAGCTTGGATCGGGTTTACGTTAAGAGGCTCGAAGGTTAGGCAGAGTAGACGCTTACAATCGTGTTTGCCAGGTCCATGAAAGCCTGCTTGCTAGGGTGTTTGAAGCAAGACCGTGAAGAGAGACATCTTTTGACCACAATCATGTTGTGATTTTAGGCAATTTCTGTCTGCCCATGTACGAATCGGACCCCTGCATGTCCCAGAAAAAGACAATTGCATGTTGGTGGTTCTGGCTACGTTTTGACTTTCTATTTGAACTTTCATTCTATAGTGCATCTCAGGAATCTTTGTTTGTGTGCATACAGTAGGGGAGGTGCGGAACAACAGGGGAACACATGGGGAAGCATTTACGACGGCACATCAACACTGCAACTGAGCAAGGCCTTCGCCAGTTCGTCAAGTTGCTGAGACTTGCAGAGGACACATCTACGCCGTTGTTCAGCTTCCAGAAATATCCACGCATAATGGTCACCACTTCCTGCGGTCCCGCTCTTGAACAAAGGCGTCGTGCGGAAGACCTGTCATGTCTGCTGTGCTGCTGGTAGGATGCAAGATGCTCCAACTCTCTGTGCTGAGCGGCGCACCACAAATTTCGGCAGCATGAGGAGCATCGCGATGTCTGTAGCAACTGGCTCCTGTCTTGTAACAGAGCATCAATGAACCATGCAGTGGGGCAAGCCAGGTCCTACTTCCGCAAGATGGCACTGCGGAGACAAACGACCCCACCTGCATTGATCAGCACGAGTGGCGCTGGAGGCAATAAGTAAAAATGCTACGTTAAGCGAGTTGGGTCAGGCCGAAAAATGGATCTGGGATATGAGGGCAGGCTTCTGCATCATCACAGCGTTGACTGTCCAGGCTGTCCGATTTTGCGTGCTGGTGGTTTCCCTGAGCCTTGAGAAATCCCGGCTGAAAGTGTTTGTGGCTCTTTTTGTCCTCAGGCAATACTTTGGGGCAGCTGTCATTTTCCGCAGTGGTTCTCTGCAACAGCCTGCGTTAAAGCCTCGTTCTCCACTTCAGGCCTTCCGTTCAAGCCGCACGGGCCTGCATAATTACAAGGGGTTCGTTACGTCAGGTTTGGCATTCCGAGGCTCTTATTTTGCATCTGTTCTGTGGCTTTTTGGAATTCAGTTAAGAAAAACATTGGGAACCCTCTTCCAAGGACTCAATATTACCAAATTCATTGGTTCAAAGAAACACTAAATCAGGTGGACCTGAGCAACCACGAGAGAGGCCCATACGAACACTCGGCTCTCACGCGCCTCGTACTCGATAAGCTCCTCACAAGCTCCACCCAAATCTTTCCATGAGACCTGAAGGTGACAGCACGTCAGAGAAACTGGTCCCATCAAGATATAAGTGAGGCTGAGCACCTTCAGTTCCACCTCGTCCCCATTCTCTGCAGGGTCGGGATCTCGCCTGCACAGGTTTCCACGCTTCGTGGCGCGGTGGTACCGGCATGGCAAAAAATCAAAACCCTGTCTGAACATCTTGAAATGTCAAGCTTGTGCTGCGCTAGGCCGCTTGGCTGCTAGGCCACGACTGGCTTAGGGAGGTTCCCACTGGGCCCCCGCAACATACAAGAACAGTGAAATTGGTTCATTCGCTGCTTCGATATGAACAATTGCTCGATTCCACTCCTTCGCTCAACTGCACTCACGAAGCGCTTTGAAGTTCATTCCGCACCCAAACCGTGCAAGAAGTCTGTCAGGCATCAAGCATCATAGCTGCCATAGCCGCAGCCAGGCCAAAAAGCGACTAAAGCTTGCTGGGTGTGAGACCTGTCAGCACTGCTCTTGCAAAGATGTTCTTAAGCAGCAGAGGCATGTCTTCCGTGTCCAATACAAGATGTGCGTGGCCGGCCGGCATCGCTACTCTCATTTCTTCTGCAATTTCTGGTTCTGCGATGAAAATGACATGGGCATTGATCCGTTGATCGCCGGTGAGGGCGGCTGCCAAATCTTGTGGCAAGATGCCATAACCTCGAAGATTGGCGTCTGAAATCAAGAATACGAAGTAATCATCTGCCTTTTCTTTGGCAATCTCTGCTGTTGCCTTGATGGCAGCTGCTAGCGTATTGTCACCGCTGCGAGCAAACGATGCATGGTCGGCCATAGCATTCACAACAGCAAATCGCTCGGCTCGATTGCGAGGAGCTTTTCCCATTTGGACGAAAGGCAGCCAGTCCGTCTCCCCACTATGGCCAATGATCTCATACATGTATTTATGCTCCAGGCCAGAGAGGGCCTCCATAATCATTACCATGGAGGCACAGAGCCTGTCAAGCCGCCCGTCGCCATTGAAAATGGCCATCGATCCACTGACGTCAACTACGAAGGATAGTCGCTTTGGCATGGACTGGGCCATAGATGGATCTTCTCTTAAGCCGCGGTGTTTGAAGACATTCTTCTCGCCAATGGCCAAATCAACTATCTTGCTGTCATCTAGTTCACCTGTTGTCTTCCCCCGCAGCCACGTCCTCTCCCTCTCCCTTGCCTCCACTGACTGGAGAATGACGCGTAGCTGCAGAACTTCCTTTTCAACTGTGCGGAAGAGCTCATCGTACTTGGCAAGATCTTGGTCTGCAAGTTCAAATAGAAACTTTTCCTTCCCAACTGCGAGCATGGCACGCTCTCGGGCCTGCTGTAGGACCTTGCCGGCACCTTCTTTTGATTCCTGGATTAACTTGCCTTGGCTGTGCTGTCCCCTAGCCCTCCCCTTCCCTGAGCCTGATCTGGAATTCCGGGATCTGAAGCCACGTCTGCCCGAACCTCGTTTGCCACGTGGGCCTTTGCCCGACCCTCCTGCCGTTCCGCCCACAGAGTCTGACATATCGCCATCAGATGTCTCATCATCTGCATCTTCTCCCTCATCCGAGTCCCCCTCGGAACCCTCAGCATCTGAATCCTGAATGTCCAGAATGTCCAGGGGCTCCTCCTTTTGCTCGCCGGGAAAACTGCTTGTATGCTCTTCCATCCCCTGCATGCTGCTGTAAAGCGCCTCCTGCACTGCAAGTGGGCCTCGGCGAATCTCCAGGATACGAATGTGAGAGTCGGCGAACAGCAGGGCAAGGCGGCCATCACCCATCTCGCAGCAGGCGATGCAGCTTGGCATCTCAACCTTCACGGGCTCTTTGCGAATGCGGCCATCAGGAGATTCGCGTTTGGTTAAGAGCATGCCCTGCCCTGCTAGGGAGGTGTCTGTTCCGCACCCCGCCTGAGACGCAGAAGACAAGCCCAAACCTGGGACTTTTCCAAGGATGATGTGGCGAACCTGCGCATTTGCCACATCAACCACTTCAACCCACACGGAGCCACGATCCACGGCATAAACTGGGCGAGCGCACTCGCTGACCCATGAGGCCGACACAACGCTTTGCGATGCCCCATGCCAGCATGAGACCGAATGCCTTGACCTGGTTGGCACTTCCAGGGCATCTTGCGCTTCCGAACCACGAGGAGAACGCCTAAAACCAATGATTGGATGAGAACGCCCTGGCATGTCCACATTCAATCCACAGCCAAAGCAATACATCTCCTTCGTCATCAAGACGTGCGCAAGCGGCTGGGCTTTTCCCTCTGCATCTGCTTCTGCAACTCCGGCTACATGCTCCTGAAGATTGATCTCAGTTTGGGTGAGCGGTGCAGACCAAAAGCTAGGCTCGATTTCGGGCGTCAGGCTTGCGAGCCGCAGGAGACACTGGGAAGAACCCACGCAGGTCAAGTATGCATCAACATTGGATGCCACGCCAGGTGTGCCTGGGCACAGCAAATCAAAAAAATATATTGATTTTGGCACTTGTCAACCGTAGGAACCATCGGTTTACGGTTACAAACTTGTGAGTGCGGCAAATGGAGGGCCCTTCAAAAAAGCCTGTACATGATTCGGTTGTGCGCCGGCACCGTGACGGCGCTGTGTATGCGCTATCAATATTTAGAACTCCAAACCGTAACTTGACCCTACCGCAGCAGCGAGGCCCAACCAATTCCGCTCCCAAAATACCCCTCCTGCCTTTCCGTGATCAGCACTAACGTCTATGTTGGTGCTCCCCACCAAGATGACATTGCTACAGAACATACGTGGTGGAAAGTGCCGTGGACTGCTGCAAATTCGACGGACAAGAAGAATTGAGCACCAAAGGAAGCAAGGGGGATAGAGCACAATGGCAAATGGAGTGCTGATGACTGCCGCTGCCCGCACCATCATAACAAAAAATTACAATGATCATGCATACATGTGTATATATATATACATATTTTGTTTCAAGTAGAGTTGTTCAAGAAGAAACTGCCAAAACGTGAAAGTTGAAGTTGGAAACCTGCGTTGAGCACGAGCTCGAAGAGTGATAGTGCTTCTTGCGAATCGACACATCTCAATAGAAGGCGCTCTCGACTGAGGACATGGACCGCACGCAGTCCCATCTCGTCGGGCCTGAAGCGGCCAGCTTCAACTTCAACCACATGGAGAAGCTACTCAGGACTCCTCGTGCAACTGAGGAGCAAATCCGGCCCAAGCCTCACAGCCGCTGCAGATGCATTGTGGTCAAAAAGGCCACAACGGACAAGCAAAATCTCTCGGCCGCCATCGGCATAGTATATTGCCAGTGGCAGATCTGCGAAAAGCCCAGCACACAAAACCTGACTGTGCTCTCCTGGCGAACTTGGAGGCCTTATTCTCAAGCTGTCCACAAAGCCATCAGCAGGCCATATGCTCAAATGTAGAGCATTTCGCACATCATAAGCGCAGACACAGCCTCCTTTCGAGTCCGGTACATGGAGCAAAGGCCGCCCAGCAGCATATGCAGAACGATCTCTCAGTGAGCTGCCAACTGCCAATGATATTTGGCGGCAAGCTTCCTGATGCACGTCGTAAACGTGCAGCATCATTTGGCTGGTCAGAATGCACAGACAACCCTGTGCAGCTTCCATTCCAAGAAGCTCTCCAAACCAAGAACCAGTGATGGGATCCTTACCTTGTGCGCTCTTGTGTTCTGATTCTTCTAGGGGGATGTGATGTTGAAAAAGAATACATCCCCGCAAGAAAATAAACTTACCCACAAAACGAGAAACCCTGAAAGTAAACAAAACTGAACAAACAACACGGGATCGGATATACCAAAACTGCGCAGAAAACAATGTCAGCATATGCAGGTACGGAGTGGTCATAGATGGCATCTGCCATCTTTTGAGTTGTCGCCTGTATTACACCACACACTATAGACTATAGACTGTCCAGCTCTTCAAACAAGGAAAAGCTTCAGGGTTCTACGTATGCAAGCGGCCTCTGATCACGACGCCATCCTGAGTTACCGAACCCATTGCCCACCAACGATCCTCCTCCGAGAAAGACCTCGACCGCGCCGAGTGGGATTTGAAGCGATGCCACTGACCAGCTGCCCCTGCGAGGCTTACACCATCTTACAACCTTACAACTCACGCATGAGTGCGTTCGATTCGCACTCTGCTGATGTCGCTGCAAGTGGGGGGGTTGCATCCTTTACACCTAATGGAGTTGCTCTTCTTCTTTCTCCTTCCAGAGGGTCAGGCACGTTTGGCAGGGCTGGCCTGCGCTAAATCTCTTTGTCGTTCTTGCTTTTGCGTTGCAAAGCCCGTCGAACAGTGGGATCGTGGACTGCTTGGTACCCCGATGGAGATCCCAATGCATGGCACAAGAAGAGAATTTGCCAATTTGCCTCAACGATTCAGGACCCGCATTCCTTGAAGGTCAGGGGTCAGCCTGCTGAGGCCGCACGACCGTTGCTACATTTGTTGCAGTCGCGCAGCCCCTCTCAGTCATAGTGCTCTAGAGTACTGGCCCCAGAACAGCCTAGGACGGAATCATGCTGTGTGGGGAGTTGCTACCAAGACACGTCTACATCAAAGACTCGCATGTGGTTGAACAGCAGTACCTGTTAATGTGCACATGCTCATATCTGAAAGCATAAGCAGAGTAAGGTAAGATTTAAGGACCCCCCCCAAGGAAGAGACCCCCCCCCCAGGAAGGGACCCCCTCCCCAGGAGGACCCCACCCCCATGCCTCACCCACCCCCCCTTTGTTTGGCTTCATCGGCGAGTCCTTTTTTTCTCCCGGCTTCACCTTTGCAGGCCCTCAGGAAGTCTCCGGGGACGACCTGCTGCCTTCTTCTAGGGCCCAAGTTCTTAGTTTTTATTCAGCTCGCTCCTCCTCCCCCAGGGGCAGGCCCGAAATGCAGCCCCCATATACGCCAAAGGGGCAATCGTGTACCCGATACTGATACCCCTCCAGGGCCACCTTTTCTCACAACATACACGTCAACAAATTAAAGGCTTGCCACATCCTGTCTCACTACCAAACTCTTCCGGCCTGAAAATTGTTCTGCATCAGGTACTTTAGAGCTCGGCGTGCCGGACATCTCTAGCTTCACTTGGCAAGCATGCTCACCTTAATTCATGCGTCAGCACTCCTTGAATAGCACATGCAGCCCAAATCGTTGCAGATGAGTGACCATCAAACCGCTGGAAAGTAGCCACCTCTTCTGGTGGCCCCAGTTGCAGGACTGCTGAAAGGCGGTGACGCTGCAATCTTGACGGCGTGGCCGCATCAGACTCCAGTGGAAGCCCATGACGCCGAAATACGTCGAAGACTGTACGCCGGAGCTGCAAGTCGAATGCATCGAATGCAAAAACGTTTTCAAGAACGGTGTCAATCGAATCAGCTGGATAAGTTGCCAAGTGCCGCACTATGTTGACCAGTTCCCGTGTGGAGTACGGATATGAAAGTTTACCAGCCTCCACCAGCTGCCGCAATTCATTGAAAGATGCAGACATCATCCGCAGCAGCGCCGTGGACATCTGCGGAGCATATGACTGCAGCATGGCAACCTCCGACTCCTGCTCATGGCATTTCGGAGCTGTTCAGAGTTATGTTGTTGGAGCCTCTTGGGATCTCTTCGGGTTTGAAGAGGCGTACCGCTAGTTCAGCATGTTGAAGAATTGTCATGCTAAACACACCAAGGGCACGGAACAGCTGCAAGCTCATGATTGCTCCTGGTCAGGGTTCTGCACAGCATGGCAAGCAAAACAGTCCCCCATCTCGCGGAAGAAATCGTTTCCTAAAAAGGGGAAGCCTGGCCGGTTTGCGAGCGCCACGACAAGAAATGCCTTGTGGATTATCGTGTTTGAGCCATCATGAAGGTGACGCACGCCATGGCGCACAAAGCGCCGCCCGTCAGCCAACAGAATCTCACCATCCTGCAGGAGCCCCTTGAGTGTCAAGACAACCTCTGTCGGAGCCTTGTCAAACTCGTCTATCACGAGAACCCGCCCGCGAATCATGGCCTTAACCAAAGGTGAGTCGTCATAAGACAAAACACCATCGCGCAGACTTGGCACCACCGTGAGAGAGCCCACAGTTGTGTCTCGGTGCAGCTGGAGATACTCACGCTCCCGATGCAGGAGCATAAGCATCTTGTCAATCAGCTTGTTCTTACCCACACCCTGGTTGCCCATCAAAAGCAGGTGCTCTCCCGCGGAAATGTCGCGAAGCATGTCATGCAGAACCTCAAGTCTCCATGCTTGTGACAAGAAACTATGAGCAAAAGGCGCCGCTTTAAGAGTTTCCCAGCCCAAGAAAGAAACAAGCTCCTGGATTTGGGCAAGAAAGCCAATGTTTGCTGCGGATTGTGGAAGAACTTTGTCTCCGGCACTAGTGTCTTCTCCTCTGGGGCACGAACGCTGCAGAAAGCCGTGCCGATTTGCAGGACAGGGTTTGCAGCTTCCAGGTCTGCTGCCTCGATGGTCATGCCAACCGCCTCTTGCAAGCGCGCAGCCCGGGGTTTGTTGACAAAGCCGGAGGCGCGCAAGATTGCCAGCACCGCTGTGCTTTCAGCTAGTGGCATAAAATCGGTCATCAGAGCAGAATGCAAATATTCGCCTATCTCGGATGCAATGTCCACAGATGCAGGTGCAGCTGCAGCAGTTCTTGCTGCGCGAAGAATTGAACGCAGTGACAACATGACCAAAGAGCTCCCCACATGCACCTGTCCCCTGTTGCCTGCCCAAAGGGCTGAGCTGGAGTCCTGCGACGCCTCGTAAAGAAGCTGGCGAACCCGCAGAAGTGAGCGAACCACCGGTTCTGGGCAGTTGGGCACAGCTTTAACCACGGCAAGCAGATCTGGCTGAGGAGGTAGTGTAAAAAAGTGGAAGAGCTGCAGGGCCTCGTTGGTCAGCCAACTGCGCGATCTTGAGTCATTCGGGGTCGCTAAGGCAATCAAGCGAAAAGTCGGGTGGGTGCAACGCAGGCCTCTGCCAAACAAATCTTCTGGAGTCAAGTCCAGGGATTTCATCAGCAGCTTCCAGCGCCATGGCGACACGAAGCGCGTGCCATCGTACAGCGTAACCTCGCGGTCCTGAATCACCTGAAATGTACAACGGAGTCCCTTACTTTAACTTTAACTCTGGCACTACTCCTTAGCTGACGACCGCTCCTGACAAGAATATGGGCCTGCAGAAAACTTGAAGCAATGTAGCCAAGCTTCCTGAACCAATGTAGCCAGGCTTCCTGGACGGAGTTGTTGCAAGCCATCAAGGACACAAATGCCGCCAAACTGCATGGCGTTCAAAAGTGGGGATGGTTCCCATGTACTCTCTCCCCTTCGGTTGGTCCCCCTGCGCTGGAAGAGGTCTCGAGCTGTCATCTCTTCATGCAAGAATAATGTCTCTAAAGTAGGATGACCCAAACATTGCCCAAGCAGCCGAGCAAGAAACGTTTTGCCCTCCCCTCTTGGACCGATGAGGCAAATGTCTCGGCCAATGGATGCAGAAAGAAGCATGCCAGTGAGTACCTGCAGCTGATGTGACGGCAAGCTGCCGAAACTGCTTTGGACTTTGCCAGGCCCACGCTGCAACCGAACCAGGCTCAACGCTGGGCCGACCCGCACTTTGAGACACGCATCTGCACCCTCTTCCACGACTTCTTCCAACACTGGCGCCAAGCCCTCGCCAGCCTCACAACGGGGCCCGTGGGGTAAGATGCCTGCCACCAGCTGTGCAGCATCTGCTGTTAACAACCCACTGCCTTCCCCAAAGGGAAAAATCACCTTCACCACGTCCTGCACAGTAAGGCCTGGGACCTTCTGAAGCAACTGCGCAGCTGAAATTATGGCCTCCTCGCAGGGATAGCACGGGGAGCTGAAGGCTAAGTGGCGGGCTTCCATTCCAGATGTCTCGGCTTGCATCTTCATGAGTTGCCACAAGCTCTCATGGAAACTAAGCAACTCTTCAAGATGATCTTTTGGTGCATTTGGAGCGTGAGAGGCGCGCAGCTTCAGAAGGAACACGTCTGCAGGGACACGATCGATGCGACGGGCTTGGAAACGTGATCGCAAAGGAGGGTCCAAGGGGTTACCAGGAAAAGGAGGACAGGGCACCCCGAGCGCAATGACTCTGAAGTCTTCGTGTACACGCACAAGCTTCAGGTGCTGCATTCGCTCGCGGCCCTCGCGGCCGGCCAACAAGCGATCGTACCTCTGCGGAGCCATGAGGAATCGGCCATCTTCCAACTGCATCTCGCGGTTCTCTAACAAATTGTTGAGAACCGGCAATACATTTCGCTCCGCTTTCTCTAGGCCTTCAGGAAAGGGTCTTCAACATAGCGACTAGAACATGAGGCATACATGTACTTCAAAAAGCCTCTGCTTCAAAAGTTTGCATGTAGGAATCAATCCCAGCCTTCCAGAATCAGCACACGCCCGTGCAAGGCCGCTCTAACAACAGCTTGATCAAACCAAATCACAGACAATTTTTGATTTCCATCATCATTGTCGGAGGATGCACAGAGCTCTCGCCGCATCTTCAGATCCACTTCCGACGTATCTGGCGTGAGCGCAAAGAATTCACACTCACGGCCTGCCAAGCTCAGCCAAAAGCAAGGACAAGTGAGCTTCTTACTGGAAGCTCTGTAATCCAACAACTGTGCGGACAGCTTGAGCGACTGTTTTGCTCTTTTGGTCAACCTCACTCTGGTGCCGTAAGTCGTAGCCTTAACTAACGAGCATGATTCAAAAGAGCACCAGAGAACTGAAGGTAAACTTTCAGGAATCCTGATTAGGTTCGCAAGACCAGGCATTTCTGCGTGAGTGGAATTCGGGTTCCAAGATATGACCGATGTCCTGAGACTTCAGGACGCTAAACAAAGAAAAACGGAAGGCCTCCCCTCTGTGGGTTAAGGCAGTTGTTTCCCTCTCAGTGCCATGATCTTGCACAACCACCCTCTCTCTCTGCTAGGCGCATCATCGCAAAGGTTGAGCTACGCTTCCACCAGCAATCCTGATGACAATATACTGCGAATATGTTGGCCTCTTGGCCGAGAATGATGATCATGAAAGGGATGAAACATCTGAAGCACAATCAGGAAGGGGCAAACAGAGTTCCTCTTGCACGTGTTAGAAAATTCGTGGCCAAAACATTACCTGAAAGAGAGAATGTCAAAAACGCGTAAATGCAAGCTCGCGCGCCTGAAATCTCACAGAACCGATATGCCAACCAGCGTCGCAAGGGTGAATGAGGACCGAGTAAAAACATGTCTTGGCCAAGGGCATCTTTCTGAATCATCCAGCGCAAGTGCTCAAATGCCCAATCAGAATCCAGCAATCTGGAGCGCTCTTCATATCGGATGGGGATAAGTTCAGGGCTTTGCCTTGGAGGATCTGGAGGGGCAATGGAAGCTGCGATCTGTCTCAGGCGCCGCTGCTGCATCACGGCTACGGCTGGTCAGCGCACAGAACGCTCCAAAGACACAGCTCCATGGCCAGGCGGCCAGGCGGCCAGGCTATTTGCTTGCAGTGGAACTGCGTTTCAAATCTTTTCACACTGCGATTCAGGCACTGCAATGGAGCTGATCAAACACTTTCAGGTCAAGCCAAAAGGCCGTAAACCTTTGAGCAAACGTCTACCAAATGGTTTCATGGTGCAGCTACAGCATGGGTGGCGGAGTGAGAAGCCAAATGCAACCAAGCACTCATCAGCGGAGCCTGACTGATGATAGTTCCACGGCAGCGCCGGCCATCCCATGTGGGCTGGAAGGCCCCCGACAAGTCCGAGAACTGTTGTGTGAACTCTTACCCCTTGGCTCGCCACTGCTCGGAGTTGACACACGGGTCTATCATGATTGCACGCATATGCTACAATACAAGTTGAACATGCTTTGGCAACGTCGTGCGAAGCTTTGCAAGTGTATGTGAGCATTACCTCTTGCCCAAACCGCCTGCAAAAGGACTTGTGCGAAGCAGTCGCTTGGTCTGAATGATCCAAACCCTAGCCTTGTCAGCCCTCTTTGACAGCATCCAGCGCCTTGCAGCACAGCTGAGCTTCCAGATTATGCAGCGGTGCGATGAGTCAACAGCCTCCCATGCGTTGACGTGAGAGCCGCGCCTGTCAAAGCACCCGTGCTGCAAACGCGACTGTCGAACAAGAGGCCGACAAAGACACACAGCGGTCCAACTCGCACGCGCTGATTCCCTAGCATAGAAGCGGGCTACCGGAAGGCTTCGCAACGAGCATGACTCAGTCGCATCAGCTGGGACTCTTCACTCGACATTTTACCGGAAGCATTTACCAGAAGCTGAGCTGTGTCAGCTCAGGACAACAAGTATGGCGACTTACATGCTACCAAGATAACCCTGCGTGGCCTGCCAGTAAGATGTGTTGCTGAGGACATGCGTCGTCCTTTCCCATGCCTGCCACTTGTCGCACTTCGCTGCCGTTTAAGGCGCAGTCTGTCGCATCTCTCGAGGACCCCGCCGAGAGCGCTCTTTCTCTGGCTTGTCGGGCCTGAAACACGTTTTCGCTCTTGCGGAGCACGCACGAAAGCAAGCAGAAATAAAAGTAGTAATCTGCTCTCCTCGAAGCACGTCTCTCGGCAAAGTTCCATTGGTTCAGGCTTGCCTAGCTTCGTCAAATTTGCATAAGGGCCTGGCGGCCTCTTCCCAGGGAAAAGGCCGGGAGCCACCGCCTGGTCGGAGTTCGAATCACTTCAGAAGCTTCACTGAAAGCTCGATGCAAGCCTGGACCTTCAGCATTAGACAAATCCACCGAGCTCCACCCTGCAACCGCACCCAGAACAGCTCCGTGCTGCAGCAAAATCTTTGCTTCTGCCCGATCTATGCAAACTTCTGATGCCTCAAGCAACTCTTGCTCCCGCTGGAGTACAGCAATATCTTGGTCACTGAGGCCAGGCTGCTTCAGAGTCTCCTCTCCCAAACACCAGGAACGTGAGAGCTTAAAATTCGCCTCTTCAACTTCAAGCTGCAGGAGCCAGAAAGCGATCAGTGGCAGGGAAACTGTGGCGAACAGCATGCTGTTGAGTGCCTTTTTTTTTCTTCGGAAAAAACCGTGAACTGGATGCATTTGCAAAAGAAGAGATGCATGCTCCAGGAGTGAAATACAACTTTCGCGCGCCGAATGCTCGCAGCTGAAGTTTTTCACGATTACGAAGAACTGCCCCAAACAAAAACTCTTCTCAAAGGGATGTTGTTACTGTTCGAGGCAGCTCCGAGCTTCTTGCCCGGGCTTACCGAAAACTGCACATTGCCAGATCTCACTGACCAGTAATGAATACCTTGGCCCATTGGCAGGCATTGGAATGGACTCACCAGCATTTCTAGCCGTAGAGGATCGTACTAGGCGCTGGGGTTGACACACCCCACCCGGTGAGAATATATGTCATCTACTGCGGACGCTGGCATTGGGAAGATTTCGCTTCAGCGGGATATTTACACCTCAGAATATGCTAATCTGCATGTAGACGCTGATTCCAGGGCGAACCAACGTAAGGGCAGATTTCCCGTTCTGCTGCGGACGCTGGGGTTTGAGAATAAAATCACAGGATTCAAGGCTTAAATTTGGTATGATTCCCCATGTAGACGCTGGTGACGCTGGTTTTACACACTTTACGCGGTCTTTCTTAGATGAGCCGTATCTTCTTGTATGAGGATCCCCGGTACATCCTAACATCTTAAATATACTTCCCGTGATAAACTTCTCATTTCACTTGGAGGATTTTTCCACATCAGAAAATGGTAATCCCCATCTAGACGCTGATTCCAGGGGAACTCGACGTAAGGGCGCATTTTCCCGTTCTGCTGCGGACGCTCTCCATGTAGATGCTGGTAGAGTCAGGTTGTACACATGCTCCAACATGGGATGATGAGATACTGCCATTTCCCGATTAATGTTACCTTCGGATTAATAAAGGGGGTCGTATTAGAGCTAAATCGGGCCTGAACGGAATAATGTAAATGGGTACGTATTAGAGCTAAATTCGACCTGAACGGATTAATAACAATACAGGAACAGAAAAACTCCGAAAGCCAGAGAAGCCAGCCAGTCTGAGCAACCGAGCGCCTAATTAAGTATCTGCAAAAGAAGAATAAGATGCAAATTGCACATAATTATATCCCAAGCCTTAGGCCTATGGATCTCAGACCTAATTGCTTAAAGCTTTTTCGCCAGAAACCAATTCCTTTCCGATTCTCAGATTTGGAGCGCGCCAGAAAGCATTGATTTCTTTCAAGACAGCTTATTCGAACCCGCCCAGGCAATCAAAAGGGTTCCCAATCAGGGTTTAGGGCTGGGACCCCCCAAACAAATTTTCCCATAATTGATTGGAGCCCCCCCAGACTATTTCGTAACGTACTTGTTTGGGAAGGGGGGGTATTAATCAGAACCCCCCATTAATCCGTTGTGGACCAAATAGGCCGTCCCAGACGGTTTTCGTGCTCAACGATTGAGCCATGGCACGTAAACCATCAACGTAAGAAAAGGTGGCCTTCCGTGAATTGCGAAGTACTGCATGGACGCAGCAATGTGTCGTATCTGGTATTTCCAGGAGTGAGACACAGCATGCGACATACATGACATCCAGTCTAGTGAATGCTTTTGGACTGGGTCCCTGGGAGTGGACGCTGCTCCACACATACAGGGATGCCATACAAAAATGCCGCATCATGAGCTGAAACCCTGTGGATGCTGTGGAAAGCATGACATCTGTTCTACTGAATGCTTTTCACCTGGGTCGCCCAGTGTGGACGCTGCTCGACACATACAGCGATGCCATATGAACATGCCGCATCACAAGCTGAAACCATGTGGAGGGTGTGGAAACAGTACAATTCCAAGATATTTGCTTTTTTTGAATGACATCTATTCTGGTGAATGCTTTTGAACTGGGTCCCCTAGTGTGGACGCTGCTCGACGTGTAAAAAACCCAGCCGACGTGAGATAACCCGACCACTCAGTAGATGTATGTCGATGCTGATTTCCTGCAATTTCACGTCTGCATCAGTAAAGCTTATGGAAACATACCAGGCACACTGGGGAACCTTCAGGAATGCATCCACCACCCAGCCCCTTTGCATATGACAGCGGCTATCATGGTGATGAAGGGGGGGGGGGGGTCAAAAAAGTTTCCCTAGACTCTCCGGCCCAATCGTCTCAACAACAAGCCAGAGGCTGTCAGACACATGAACAGGAGGGGAGTACGAGCCACGAGCCCCCAGAAAACAACACACGTGACTTTTGTCTTACACAGTGACTTTGGCTGCTGGCTCTCAGAGCTCCTGGGTTTTGGATGCGGCCAGCATGGCAGCTGCAAAGTTCTCCTGCATGCCAAGCTGCTGATTCCAAAGTGATCTGACTCCAGGACCCACCTGCACTGGGAATGCAGCCACGGCCTTTAACTGTCTATACACCTGGCGGGTCTCTTTGTGCCAACATCATCGAACAGAAGCGCAAAATGGCTAAGCACACCAATCAGCTCGTACAAGTGGGGAGGCACCAAACGGAAAAAGTCTG